TACCATTATCCGATAGCCAGTAACATACATCTGAATCCAGGAAATATTCACAAACAAATCTTCGAGCAATTAAACCGTCAATAAGCCCTGAAGATACCTGTACAATGAACTGTTGAGCAAAGAATAACTTATTTTTTGTATGTGTGCACGTCTTAGAATAATTGTCCTGGTGGCACAAAATAACGAACTTATTACACACACGAATTCACAATCACAAATTAGTACGCGGTCATTGAAAAATATCTTTATAGATTGCACTCTCTTCCCTACCGCCTAGTGAGAATACTTCCCCAACCTGAGTAAATCTGCATCTTTGTACAAAACGTATGCTTGAACTCCTGGAAATATGTGACAGCAATAACAAAAGCCGCTGATTACCAACCCACATACCTCTCTCGTTCTCCAAGAAACTGGCAAGACATGAGTATTACGAATTAACTCATGTCTAGATTGTTATAAGCCTCGCTTACCCAATGCACCTTCAGAGTCAATTAAGTAATTCCTGAAGATAGGTTGTTTGGACCAGAGTGGAAAATCGCTCTTGCACCCGGTTAAGTCGCTGCTGTGCTGCGGCCGAATACGCCGCGACACTCGCCAACTTTGCGATGGACCGCCGCCGCCGCCGCCGCCACCGCCCGCGAGCAGCGTGAATCCGCACTTACCCACGCCCCCCGCCGTACTGGCTCTCGGCGAACCGAGAGCTCACTGCACGTCTCTCGACAAAATGACAACCTCGACGGCCCTCCATAGATCTTTCCCTGGAACAGCAGTTTCACGATTTGCGAAAATGGTACATTTTAAGACTTTACAGAGAATTTCGCGGTAATAAAACTTGGTTTAGGTAGAGTTGGTGGTTTCATGCAGTTTGAAACACTCCTGACAAGTATATGAAAAGCGGAATTGACTTCCTAAAAAGTAAACGCGCTTCTGTGCTAGGGACTCGTACATTCAGCTTCAGGCGACATTCGCCTTCCGATCACGTCCGCTAGTATCAGCGTTATACATCATTAGTCCTTCGCGAGTAGACATCAGGAATATTTAAATAGTCATTTTAACATGAGATAAAATGAGAAATGAAAATGATCTAACGTGAAAGTATAAACAGAAGAACACAAGAGTTTCTACAAAATTTTCTTTAAAAATGCAAAAATTTCCAATTATAAATTGTTCTCTTTTCCAAAATTTGTGGCAGTACACTATAGTTTTGTTACCTGTCTTAGAATAAAATAGATCCTTTCAGAAACATCGATTGTTGATAATTAGCTAAACCAGGGTTAGCCAAATCGGCCCGCGACAGGAACAAACGTAAAAGTTTCTTGCACTCGTGTTTCGCGCGGAAAATATTCGCGCCTAGGAATATGCGCACTGTCCGGCGTCAAACAACCCCCTTAAAATATAAAAATGAGTTGACGTCTTAGAGATAAGGATTTTTCTCTCGTAAATTCAAAATTATCCCAATCGTTGTTTCACTACGTCACGCATGCAGAGCCTGATATCATTCATGGTTCTACCCCCCCCCTTTTTCAGACATCCGAAGGCAAACATGTCGAGATCACCAATACGGGGTCACGTATAGACTCGCACGTTACCTCCATGGCAGATAGACATGTCTTATTGCATTCCTAATTATACTCTGCCTAAAACTATTAACTTGCAGGTTCTGATGTGCAATAGCAAAGTTTCTCGCATTTTGCCAATATGAGAACCAAAAATGCAGTAGCACATTCGCATTAGCACAATACTAAACGCAAAAAATTGCAGACAGTTCCCAAATAGTTCACGAAACATTCTGACGCAACATCAAACTACATATTGATCTTCCCAGGAATTTTCTTCTTTGTCCCCCCCCCCCCCCAATTAAGTTGAAATAGTAAAACTTCACTAAATCAGTATAATTTGTGTCATTCTATTTCTGCAATCTCTAGCTAATCGTTTGATGCCATCTAACATTAAAAACTTCACTGTTTTGTATGTTTTGTGAATATGTGTAATTTAAGTTAATAATAAGTGTGGGTCACAATAATTTGAAACTCTTATTTGCAAAAACTTAATGTAAGTATCTAAAAAAGTGAGAAATCCAACATAACCTTTATATAAATTTGTTCTAGAATTGTCACAGTTTTATTTCTCGCACTCTAAATTCTTCAACTTTAAAACGTTCCAGGCGCAGTACTGTTCGTAAGAATTTCGCCATACTTACTTTAAAGAAATACGATAATCTCAAACCTAAATTGATATAAAACAGCAGGCTCCGATATCTTGATAATTCAATTGCTCGTTTTAAAGATTTCAACCACCAATCTGAACGCGGTTGAAAACAATTATGGCTTATTGGAGAGGAGAGGACAAGAGAACAGAGAGAGAGAGCGAGAAGAGAAGAGAGAGAGAGACAAGAGAGAGAGAGATAGAAAGAGAGAGAGAGAGAAAGAGACAGAGAGAGAGAGAAAGAGACAGGACGGAAAGAGACAAGAGAGACAGAGAAGAAGAGACCAGAGAGACGAGAAGGAAGAAAGAGACAGAAGATTAGAGGCAGAGAAAGAGACAGAGAGAGAAAGAGACAGAGAGAAAGAGACAGAAGAGACAGAGAGAAAGAGACAGAGAAAAGAGACAGAGAGACAGAGAGAGAGACAAAGAGACCAAGAGAGAAAGAGGACAAAGAGAGGAAAGAGACAGAGAGAGAAAAGAGACCAAAGAGGAGAAAGAGACAAGAACGGAGAGAAAGAGACAGAAGAGAGAAGAACAGAGAGAGAGAGAAAAGAGACAGAGGAAAGAGAGAAAGAACAGAGAGAGAGAGAAAGAGACAGGAGAGGAGACGAGAAAAGAGACAGAGAGAGAAAAGAACAGGAAGAGAGAGAAAGACAGGGAGAGAGAAAAGAGAGAGAGGGAGAAAGAACCAAGAGAAGAGGGAAAAGACCAGAGAGAAGAAAGAGAAAAAGACACAGAGAGAGAAAGAGAGAAATGAGACGAGAGAGAAAGAGAGAAAAGACAGAGAGAGGAAGAGAGAAAGAGACCAGAGAGAGAGAAAGAGGAAAGAGCACATAGAAGAGAACGGCACCCCGGGAAACGGGCGAGAGATGATATTCATACTTCCTTGAGTCACGAGGTGATAGCGTAAAGAGAGAATTGGAGCAGTCTAGACGGAATGTCAATTCCCTAGCTTAAATGGTGAAAAGTGAAGGCAGAATTCAACAGAGTGAACCATATTCTACAGGGTGGATTGGGTTCAGTTTGACCGCCAATTCCAAAAAATACTGATTAGTTTTAAAAGAAAATTTATATGAGGCGTAAGCAGTCATGAGGGCCAAAGAAAAAATCCAAGGAGATGAAGAGAGAAAAAATCGTATGGCCCAAGAGGATGAACAGAGAGAGAACTAGTATGACGAGGAGTTCCACTCTGAAGCCAGGAAGGGCCGAAGTTCAACGCGTATGCCAGAAGATGTTCTGAAGAGACAGCCAGAGCTCGAGCGGTCGAGAAGATATTGGTCAGCTGAGTCACGATGCGGAGGAAACTTGGGTGCTTGAGGAAGGGAGCCATCTGAATAGAAAGAAACCAAAGAAGCGTAGAGTATACGGGTCATTCAAGGAGATTGAGCCAGGATAGGAAGTTTATAATGCGACTGCCCGCTTAAGCCAGAATGAGAGGGGTTTAGTTTATGTGCTAAAAAGGAATTTGTATTCTGCGGGGCGACTTAAAGGCGTCGAAGTAATTTAAGTGCGCGAGCTGACGTATTTCGCCAGACTAAAGATGAAAGTGAGTTTTCAGATGCTAAGAGAGATGTCGGACACAAGTAATAAGGAACACGCAAGAAAAAGCAATTTGAAGAAATAGAACAGAGAGTGAGTAGACTAAAAATGACCCAACCATGAATAAGGTAACTTGTGCTAAATTTAATTTCGCAAGTAATGAACTTCGTTTCTACAGCAACTCATGTTGATTTGCCCCTGTCAAAAGACATTAGGTACTGCTGCGGAAGAATAGGAAGGAATCGAAATGTCAGAGACCAGAGAACATCACAAAGCTATCTGAATGAAAAAAAAGCAAAAGATCAACCTCCAAGTGGAGAATTGAAAAGAGAGGGATGTTTGAGAAGACCAGAGAGAGGAAAAAAGCATGCAAACTTAGTACGTACTCTAGTAATTGAGTAAGACATAAGTAGCTTAGGGTAAACACAGAGTAACCAGATATGTAGATATGACGCATGATTGCGTAAGTAGTGCAAGCTATGATTGATGCTGCACTAATGAATATTCAGTAGACAC